GAATAGCTTTTATGTTTTTCGACGTTTTATGACCCTTAGAATACGAAAAGTACGTCCCTTTTTACGTCTGCCTGTTTGTCGGTCGTCCATTGTCTGTTGTCTGTGTCAATTTTTATTGAATTACTGAAACTACCAAATTGATAGCTGTCAAATTTTGTATGTATTTTAGGAATATCGTGTAGATGATAAACCGTTAACCAAGTTTTGTCTAGGCATTGACCCCAATAATTTGATGAAGTTACCTCAAAATTTTGCATATTAAATGCTATTTAGATTTGATAAAAGACCATACCCTGCACTTGTGGTTTATGAATCCGTGTTGAGTTTCTACTCTTGACATACAAATTTAGGCAAAAAAAAATCAAAATTTTATAATAACTTTTTACAGTAATTTAGTATAAGAGAAACGTGCAGGAACCGTTTTTATCTCAGATGGTTAGGCGTGTATTAATAACGCCAAGGTCGCGGGTTCGATCCTCTCGTGAGTAATTTTTCTTCTTACACTGTTATTATCACTACTTTTTTCTAAAAAACTGGATTTGCTTGACTGTACTACAGGGACGGAGGAAGTTCTGTTTAATAACGCGAGACGATTTTTTTAAATAATGTCATCAATTTCTAAAACGATGTAGGTATATTAAATTTTTCTTAATATTTTATATTTCCGGAATTGATGTCAGCGTCTCTTGTGTAAGATCAAGATCTAATATTACCAAACTTACTTTGTAAAAGTAAACTATAAAAATGTGGGTAGAATGTTAAGCTACAAAGAAAAGTGTGTGTCTTTTCTTTAAAGTTTAACATGAGGTCAAACATTTTTTGAAAGGAAAGAAAGTGAATAATTTTTTAAGAGTTTGGCTCATGGAATTTTTAATCTATTTTCATAATGTAATACTCGCATCTCCATTATTAACATACTTATTGTCATCGCCGTTTACTTTATTATCATCTTCTTTTAGAATTTTGGTGAAACTTTTCATCGCTTATCTTTAAAAATCAATATCTTAATTATATAGGAAATTTTCGAATCACGAATTTCACCACTGTTTTAAGTTTCCAGAACTCTACAAATTGTAAGAAAAACAAGATACCTTTTACTATAACTCAAGTCCGATAAAAAAGAGTACCCCAGTTATATAGAGGAAGTTGCCGACAGGTTATACGTAAAATTTCAAAACAACTCTGTTAATTTAGTGGAGATATTACATTCTGATAGTTTCGGAGAACATCTATGCAATCATCAATAGAAGACAAATAAACGGAAAGAGAAACTGGTATTTTCGTAGTTTGCAAGTTCTGTCTAGCGGTTTATCTAAGTCACTCCAGTCCAAATTCCAGAGTAATCAGTACGGTTGGAAATTACTAGTTAAAATTTTTCCAGCCAATCACAGACGGACCATCGTACTTACAGACGGTAACGGAAAGTCTCCATTTTCGAATTTTAAATATTTTGAAAAGAAACGTGACCGGTAGTGTGTTTTACTGCTCTGTCTTTTTCAGAGTTTTGGTGAGTTTGTTCCAATTTATTTAATTGCCGAACGGCACCAAAGTGTTCCTAACTGGTCGATCTTCCCCTGGGAAAATTCTCTAATTTGGGGCTAAACTCAAGATTTTACGTTTCTTGGTATTCTTGATGCTAACATTTTAATATATTTCGTTTTTGCTGTTAATAGATTCGTTCTTTTAATTCAAGGATCCGAGCTACCGCGCCGAGCGCGGTGCTTGCCTCGGAAATTGGTATGGAACCATGGAGTAGGACTCTTCTTTGTTTTTGCTTTTTTTTTTAATTTTGTTTAAGAGATTACCGGCAATCCAAAAATGTTAGGTTTGCGCCCAAAATGTCCAAAGGTTGTTATTGCATTTATCTTAGTTCGAAAGAGTTACATAGTTGATAAAATAATTGATGAGCAAGCACCCCATAATTAAAGTTAAAGACATAGATGTAGCGGTAAGAACCTTGGTTTTACAACTGTATCAGCGATGTCCTTTCTAAGAATAGGAAAACAAAATACTGAGTATGCCCATGTCCTCAGTCCGCAGGCAGATACATGTCCAGTATGATGATAATACATATAAATCTCCCTCAATCATTGGTAATAAAATACGATAATCCAATTGCCGTGTTTTTCTTGATTTTGATGATGTTTGTTTTAGTGCAGAACTAATGGGCACTTTGCAAATGATTGTCCAAATTCCGGCGGCACTGACACAATAGATCCCCAAAATTCTGCGGTCATACCTGCAGAAACGTTATCAGATCCTGTATTACTAGACGGATTGGTTTCTCTGGAAAATTATTCATTGTTCCGAAATGATCGAGTGCATATGAAAGGAGGTGCGGTTTGTATATATCTTTCAAAATATGTCTTGTCCAATTTTCAGGTCACTCCACTAGCGTTCAATAAATGCCTTGTTCCTTAAGTTGTTTAATAGGTATGCTACTTTTGTTTTGGGGTGTGTATGTAGGTTTCCTTCGTCTTCAATTGAGGACGATAAAATTTTAGTTTATTTCATCATGAAAAATATTTTATTTTTGGCATGCCTGATATTTCATGCCCCCTAAATACTAGTCAGTCCTATAATACATCCTCCCAACTCTTAGGTGAACTGCTGATTAACAGCCATTTTAATGAGCTGGTTTTAAAACCTACAAGATATAGACCAAATCAAACTCTTTCTCTAGTTGACTTAATCATCTCTTCCGATGACAATTCTCTGGTCAAGTTGGATTACGTAAGCCCAATTGGTAAGTCAGATCACGTTACCTTAAAGATTGACCTACAAATTAGCTTTAACCCTTATATGAGGACCGTCTCAATTAGGAAGACGTATATAGATTTTAAAGCCTTAGGTCACAATCTAAACGAACTTTGGGAATCTATATTGTCCAAGCAGGTAGTTGGTGATAACCGGAACATATTTAAAGGTATTGTTTGTAATGAGGTTGAGGAACATATGAACATCGTAACCGTTAAAAGATCTGCAAAAAAATCTTGGATTGACAGTAATATTCTAAAGTTAATCAAAAAGAAGCGGGCTCTGTGGCGCACGTTTGAAAGGTCTGGTTCTGAGACTGATTAACTATGCAGCCCACAGAACGTTTTCGAACCAACTTACGTCAGCAAGGATTGCGGAATCTAGGGACTTAAAGCTGTTTTACAAGCATATTCGTTCTGAATTGTTGGGTCCTGTTGGGTCTTTGCAGACTAGAGATAACTCGGGCAATATAGTGGACAAATCATACAGTTGCCGATGTTTTCGCTGATACATTCTCAAGAGTTTTCACGAAGGAATCGTCAGATGTAATGCCAATGATTACGGGTGTTACAAAGAGAAAAAGTATTACTACTTAGTTAGTATTACTACTTTTTTTCTTTGTAACACTGACTTTCCCAAAAGTGTGGTTTGGGAAAAGTTGAAAAAACTAAGAATGTCGAAGTCTCCGGGTCCTGATTTAATAAACAGCTAATATTTTGAGAAATTGTGCTGAAGCACTTAGTCCCCATTAGGATTCCGATGCAGCACTCTTTTAAGACAAGTTCCTTACCAGATGATTGGAGAACTGCATTTGTTCGTCCTATTTTTAAAAAGGGTGACAAATTTGATGCCTTAAATTACAGACTGGTCAGTCTAACGTCGATTGTGGTCAAAATGATGGAGTCTATAATTTATGACCAGATGTGTAAGTTTCTGCTAGACCATCAAATTATCCCATCCGAACAGCATGGGTTTTTGCCCGGAAAATCGATCCAGTCAAATCTACTTTGTTGCTTATCTGACTGGACAAGAGACCTAGACTCCAAGTGTCCTCTTGATATCATCTATCTCGATTTCTCTCATAATAGAGTGGAGTGCCACAGGGCTCAGTACTCGGCCCTTTACTTTTTATTATCTATACGGCTGATCTAAAATATATGCTCACATCATTGTTTGCTATGTACGCTGATGACGTCAAAATATACGACAAAAGAAGTAATTTTCAGAATTTAATGCAAGATCTTCATGTCATACATAATTGGTCCAAAGATTCGTTACTTCCGTTAAATTTGGACAAGTGTACTATTTTATATGTTGATAAAAAAAAACCCAGACATCCATATTGGGTGGGCAATATTAAGTTGTCCTGTACATATTCGTATCTTGCTTTTGGTAGTGTGATTAACAGCGATCTATCGTATCATGTGGCAAACGTCACGAAGAAGGCTAACAGAATGTGGCTTTTCAAAATTATATAAAATCTTTGTGAGGCCCTTGTTTCAATTTGCTAATTGTGTTTGGTCTCCTGTATTTCAGCAGGACATTCGATGTCTGGAATCAGTTCAGCGAAGGGCAACCAGATTCTCATATGGCAAAAATCGGCCACCATATCTTGAAAGACTTGCTTATATGAATCGTTGTCCTCTTTCTGAGAGGTGAAAGAGAGGTGACATCATCCCTGAATAAAATTGATTCCCCGATTAAACACCTGTTTCCTCTCAATACTTCTGAACGTATGTAGAAGAGGTCATTTTTTTAAAAATTTCCTACGAATTGCAATAACTGGATCAGAATACAAAATACGATACGATTATTAAATAAAAATTGCATTTTATTTGGATGTTCCATGTTGTAATTGACATTTGGTTAATTATAACTTGTCCAGGTCTAGGGAAAGCAGAAATTTCTCTAGGGGAGGTTCAGTCTCCCTTATGAAAGTACCAAGTCGCCCGATGTACTCGATTGCAATACTTCCTTAGCTTATGATCTGGAAGAAAAACTCAAAAAACCAGAAATGAAGCACATTTATACATCTGACGAAAGACAAAAAGATGTATCTCATGAAAAAATAGACAACAGAAGTAGCCAGTTTAATAACATCTTTACGCAATAATTAGGTATACCGAATTAGAAGAAACAGAGTGAATTGAAATTTTCTACGAGTTCCTAGTATTGTTTAGAATTTTCTGCTTAAACAATAAACTATGTGCTATAGTGTTATAAAAACTATGATATATACTTACCAGCATGATGTTGGCATCTTTGGTTGGTGTGACTTGCACAGCCTCCGGAATGCTTTGTGTATAAGTTCCCGTTGTGGCATCGTGAGTTTCCTGTTCCGGGACTGCTGTGGCGAACTGATTGAAATATAAGTTTGTGTGCTGCACCGATGGAGCCCAACCCTTTCCTGTAAATTGTCCTATGTAGAGCAACGTAAAGCGGCGGTTATCTACCACCCTTTAATCTACATGCATTATTATAAATTACTTTAACGAGCAAAGGGTGGCGAGAATGCTCATCCGCCCATGCCATGTGCACTGATTTCATTTGCATATGGCTATTTCTGCTGCAATTAAATCATTTTGTATTTTAACAACGTTGTATTTAAGCGTAAATTTATTACTGGACCGTTTAAATACTCAAACGCGTTAAAACATTTTTAAAAATTGTATTTCATCACTCTTACAATTATTAAGAAGTCGTTTAATATATAAAATGTTAATAAATGAGAACCGAACTTCACCAGTTAACAGAGCGTTGAAACGATTAGATATATTCTATTTCAAACGTTTGCTTTACAAAATTAAAATTAATTTCGTGAACTTTTGTATGACGTTACTTTAGATGTTGACATATAATTTTAGAGAAGACATACTGATTCAATTCCAAGGATGACTTGATCACAAATTATGTTGTTCGTCCCATATATTTTTGTTAAAAACAAAAAAAAATGGCAAAATCATTGTCATTGCACAGTTTTGAATATAAGGAGAGGAAAAGGTATTAAAGGATCACATGTTTATAATTCTAAGCATATGTATATTTTAAATGAATATTTTATTTCGTCGTTTATTTGATTTTTTATGTATAGTAAATTCGCCAGTAATCTTCGGAAAGTGATTCTTTTTGTAAGTAGACACTCTCAGGGTTCACATTACAGCATTTGAAAGCCAGTGATCCGAAATTAAGCTTCTATTCGTAGCTGATCTGAATTATTTCCCTTTATATTGAAAAAGATCATTTTACATCACTGTAGAAAATGTTCTGGCAAAATTGCTTACACATTTGATGTATTTCTGCTCTTATTACAAGTATGTAGTATAAAGAAGGGAGAAATAAAAATTTCCTCGCTTTAATCACTTTCAAACGCGGATCTAATTGTTGCCTGAATAAAAATAATTTATTTTGATATGATGCAGGAAAATTATATTATTTCTATTTAATATGAGCACCTGTAGACGCCAACGTGAGAACATTTCCTTTGATGAGGTTTTGCGTGTTATTAAACTCGGATTGTGTTACTCGTACATGTTTCCTAATAAGTGATATATTACTTGTTAAACAACACTTGAAACAACTGATATACATTTCATCTCTACTGAATGAAGTTTAAAAATTCGGTCGTTATAGAAAAACTGATCTAAATCTATTTAGGCAGAACTTCACTTACCCCTAAGTACAAGCGAACAGATACAGTTTCTTCGAAAATTCTATTTTGTGAATTTTATTTTTTTAGGATAATTTGTATAAGTTATACTATGCGATGTCAATTTTTTCATAACAAAATTTTGTGATGACGTCCATTAGTCTCAATTTCAGTAGGTTCAGTGTAATACTAATAGTAACAGTACTGTATATTAAATTTTTCGGGAAAATGGGGTGATCCGTTCTTGATTTGATAAAAAAAAATAGATCACCTCATTCATTTTTGTTTTAATCACCCTGTATAAGTAATTCTAAAAACTATGAATGTATTGCTAAACCACAAGTATAGAATCATAATATTTTGCACATTTTGGCTAGGATTTATGAGGCACAATTTTGAGATGACGTCATCAATTTCTTGGGAGGGATGAATGGACAAATTTTGATTATCGATTTACCATGATAACGATAACCTCAAAATGTTTGTAAGATTTCAGAGTATTCGGTTTTGCAGTTTCAAAGTTATGTTGTCAAATGCTGTTACATATTTTTGATTTGGATGATTATAGTAAAAACTCGACATAAACCACATTAACACAGCAGTTATTTTATAAAATTGAAATCACATTTACTTCTGAAAATTTTTTGTTTTGTTAGGTTAGACAAATTTTGGTTAGCGTTTTACTATTTAAACGATATTTCTAAAATACAACACAAACGATAAACGTACTCTGGCAGTCATGAAACGTAGAGAAAACATGAAAGTAGCGATTCGTAGCATGGACTCTATTACAATACTTACGCTAAAGTAATAGAAAGAACAAGGTGGTTTTGGAATCAATTTTCACAACGTCTTTAGCATTCATGGCAAATGTGTCAATAACGGTGACGATATTTCCGGGCCGATTGTAATTTTAATGTTAAAGGCAATCCTCTCGGGAAGTGAAATTTTTTTTATATGTTTGTGTTTTCTGATTAAATGCGACGAAAATGTAGCTTCAAATTAGCTAAAAAATATAGCATTTATACAAAGGAACCGTCACGTGATTATAAATCGGATGATAATTGATAATACACCATTCTAGTATAGTTTTATTTCGGGAACAAGTAATTTGATAATGCATTTTTGAAAATGAAGACATTTAGAAAAAATTACAACAGCATTAAGTGGAAGAATAAATAATTATTTATTGGTTACCCCTGCAGCAGTATTTTTGAACGAGTTATAAATTTATAATTGGTAATTATGCTCATTAAAACATCCTGCAGTGTAACATTAATGTTATATAACCTCAAAATTTGAGGTTCACGAAGGTAATAAAACTGTTCTGTCGCAAAAAAAATAGTTGTAGTTTGTAGTACGTACAGGGTCTCTAAAATGTATGGAAACGGTTGAATACCTTGAGAACCAATTGTACAAATCACCTGAACTTAGGTATAGGGGTACAAGAAGTTGTGCTCTAATTATTCCAACACAATAACTATAAAAATTGTGAAAATCTTTATAGCCTTTACATAAATAGTATTGAATGAGGGATGGTGTAGAGTGAAAAAAAAGTCATATTGCAATAGGCTTGTTATTGAGTAGTTAAAACTATGTAGTCTAGGAAGACAACCAAATTAACAGTTCTCGAGCAGAGTTGTGAACTTGTTCAACTATTTACACCATGTTAGAGAACATAATCAGTTGTTTATAATAATATTCCTGAAGGATCAACTACACAAGTTACTCCTAAAATGTTAAAGACCAGTTCCAGCATGTATGAAAGACAATGCAAAATCAACGTGCTCAAAAATTTACAAAAATTAACTTCGTTGCGTTTTTGCTATAAATGCGAAGGTCTTTAATTCAGCATTGAGCGTTTTTAGGGACTATGCAGGGCAGAGTATAGAAAGAGAAAAATTTCAAAAAACAATCTAAAGGAATTTACAAGGATATTTAATAAAATAATCAAAGAATTAGTTGAAAATTTAGGAAAACCTCTTCTGGACAGTGTTTGACAAAAAATCTGGCTATTTTACCACTGAATTAGTGCCATCAAAACTAGTTAATTGATATAGCTGACTTAGTACTTTACAATAATATAACCTTTTGATATATTTTTGTTCAACATTGTAATAAAAAAAATTGGTCTAAAGAGTTTAGACAGTACTTCCCTCGCTGTCGGAAACTTGACGACTGCATGCCTAATGTGTTTTTTTTCTCATTACATTTTTGTAGTGGGAATTTAAAAAAAAATTGTGATGACGTCATCAACATTTTTGCAAGGACACGTATATCAGTTGGGATAGATGTAGTGTAATACTAAGAATAAAATTATTGTATTCCCAAATTTTCGGGAAAATGAATCGGGTCGCTTTGAATATTGATTTCTTATAATCAATAAAATAACGAAACAATTTACTCACGTATACGGCGCCGGTGTGTAATATCTAGAGAGCGGATTTCTGTCGGGCTAGGCAAGGCCAAACTCGGTACGGCTCGTACGGGATGCGAATTCATTGCGGTTGCGGACTGCACTTCGTTTATTTGAGATTAGAATAACGCTGTTATGTTGCACTCTGCTGTTAATTCCCGTTCTCATTTACTTATCCGTTTGATTAATAAATCGTTAATTATATTTATGGAATTAGTACCGATTAAATTCGGTGATTATCTATCACCCGGCGATCCAGTACGTCCCCCCCTATAATCGTGACGTAGCCCGACAGAAATCCGCTGTCTAGTAATATAAGGGGCAACTGAAAATCGTTTATGTATAAACATTCTTAATTTAAGATGACAAGCGTAACAGCATACGTGAGAGTCAAACAGAGAAACAAAACGACCATCGGTTTTATTGCTTCGACTTCCGCTTATTATATAAAACATTGGGTTTTATTTTAATTCTTGACGGTGAAATTCACAATTGGTTGATTATAAACATGTCTATTCCACATTCGCGGAACCAAGTGAGCGCATAAAACAAATGCAGGTTTGTAATGTTAAAGTCGATGTAAATAAGCGTGCTACCCTTATGTTTCAACCGAGTTTTTCTTTTAACAAATTTTGTGTCTACCAAATTGGGTTGGTTGGGGTGTAATACTAATAATAAGTGTTGCCTTTAATTTAATCAATAAAATAAATTGACTTCATTAATTTTTTTGAACCACCTCTTAAGAAAATCTAAAAAATATGAATGGAATGATAAATCACAAGTACAAACTCATCATATTTTTTGCATTTTAGATAGGATTTATTCAGCAAAATTTAAGGGTGACGTCATCAATTTTTTTAGGAGGGATGAACAAATACATTTTGAACAAAAGTTTACCATGCTTATAATAACTTTAAAATATTCCCAAGATTTCAAAGCATTCGGTTTTGTAATTCCTGATTAAATCGATAAAATAAATTCACGCATTCATTAATTTTTTTGAGTCACCCTGCATATGCAAATCCAAAAATATGAATGGAATGATAAATCGCAAGTACAGACTCATCATATTTTGTACATTTTAGATACGATTTATTCGGCAAACTTTTGAGCTGACGTCATCAGTTTTTTGTAGAAGATAACCAAAATATTTTGACTAAAAATTTATTATGCTCTTTATAACCTTAAAACATCTGCAAGATTTCAAAGCATTCGGTTTTGTAGTTCCTGATTAAATCAATAAAATAAATTTACGCATTCATTAATTTTTTTGAGTCACCCTGTATATGCAAATCGAAAAAATTTGAATGGAATGATAAATCACAAGAAGAGACTCACCATATTT